AGAGAGAGGAATTTCTTGGAGGAGGTTGTTACTAGTATTAAAATCGAGAGAAAACTATTTTATGGCAGTTGAACACTGACTAAGGCAAGCTCTCTTGATTTTGCATTTGTGTTTGAATGAGTTAGTTGTTCTAGCCTTACTTATCTGACCATTTCATAAATAAAATGGACACCTTAGAACCCCAGAATATTCCCTTGCCAGCCACTTTTACTGAAAAGGGGGGAAATCATTTGAAAGATGGCCTTATGTATTCCCTCCAAGTTCTTTGACCCGAAGTTACTTTTCCACTTGAAAGGAAGGCTGTCACTGCCAGGAGACACTTAAGGGATGTTAAGTAATGTTTCCCTCAGAACAATTTGCAAGTGTTGTGTTTTTCCCCTTGTACAAAAGACAGATCTAAGAAAAATGTGTAATGCAGCTGGGAAAGATTTTCATTCTTAGGAGGCTGCTGAACATTTTAGAAATGAACTTAAGTGAAGCAGAACATTTACATTTATAAATTGTCCCTCTAATGTATCTGTTTCAACACTCCACAGTGTCTATGGTATCCACATCATTCAGCATCTAAGCGGCTTACCTAAAAGTTCAGGGCCAGCCGTGTAACTGTTCACATCAACTAGCATCCCAGAGCCTCAGTTTCCTCACCAATAAAATGGAGATTAAAAGTGAGATGACTTCTAAAGTCCCCTTCAGTTCCAAAATTATCATTTTAGAAGATGATTCCATAAGAAGGAGGGGGCCTGGTCCCCTTGGGTATATCTCTTGAGTGTCCTAAGTGAGTTTAACATTATACATGTTCTTTAAATAATATTAAAATCAGTATGATCTCTTTTTTAAAAAGATTTATTTAGGGGCGCCTGGGTGGCTCAGTTGGTTAAGCGACTGCCTTCAGCTCAGGTCATGATCTCGGGGTCCTGGGATCGAGCCCTGCATCGGGGCCCTGCTCGGCAGGAAGACTGCTTCTCCCTCTCCCGCTCCTCCTGCTTGTGTTCCCTCTCTCGCTGTCTCTCTCTCTGTCAAATAAATAAATAAAATCTTTAAATAAATAAATAAATAAAATAAAAAGATTTATTTAGTTAGCTGAGAGAGAGAGCATGCACTCAAGTTGGGGGGAGCAAAGAGGGAGAGGGAGAGAGGATCCCAAGCAGACTCCTCGCTGAGTGTGGAGCTTGATGTGGGCCAATCCCACAACCCCAAGATCATCAAGCCAAAGCCAAGAGCTGGACGCTCAATCAACTGCACCACCCAGGTGCCCCAGTATGATTTGACTTTTATTAGGTTAATGGAACTTGACCATGAATCTTACTTTGGGTTGATTTTAAAAAGGATTGTAGATGCGCCTGGGTGGCTCAGTTGTTAAGCGTCTGCCTTCTGATCCGGTCGTAATTCCAGGGGTCCTGGGATCGAGCCCGGCATCTGGCTGCCACTTCGGCGGGAAGCCTGCTTCTCCCTCTCCCTCTGCTGCTCCCCCTGCTTGTGCTTGCTCGCTCTCTGTCAAATAAATAAACTCTTAAAAAAAAAAAAAAAAGGATTGTAGGGGCGACTGGGTGGCTCAGTCATTAAGCGTCTGCCTTTGGCTCAGGTCATGATCCCAGGGTCCTGGGATCGAGCCCCGCATCAGGCTCCCTGCTCCACGGGAAGCCTGCTTCTCCCTCTCCCATTCCCCCTGCTTGTGTTCCCTCTCTCATTGTATCTCTCTCTGTCAAATAAATAAAATCTTTAAAAAAAAAAAAAGGATTGTAAAAAACTTTCCAAAGAAGATTCTCTTTTACCTCTTTCTTTTTCTCTATAAATATTTTGCTTTGTGCACTCTTTCTGTGAGTTTGTCAACTGCACAGGTTTGTTTTAGCACTCTTTCTTTACAGAAATTATCAACTTTTCTCCTGCTGTTTAGCCAGTGATACGTTCTGCTTCATTCCTATCAATATATTAACAAGTTAGTTCTCCTTTCTTAAAATCCTCTTTATTCTACTTTTCTCATCTGCTACCACATATTTCCTCCTTCCCTTTACAACAACGGTTTCTCAACCTCGACTTTGACATTTTAGACTCGATATTTAAATTTCTGCTCCACTTTATTGTGGGCGTCTGTCCTGTGCATTTCAGGATGTTTAGCAACATTCCTGGTTTCTACCCCCAGATGCCAGTTGCACCCCGCCTCAAAAAAAAAGGTCTGCAGACATTACCAAATTGTACCCTAGAAGCAAAATCCTCCCCATTTGAGAACCATTGCTCTGCAGCAAAGGAAAGCTCTATCTGTACTCTCACTTTTATCTCCTCCCATCCCCTCTTGACCACTCCCTGAAAATACTCTCAAGGACATCAGTGACCTCCATGCTGTTAACCGGATGGCCATTTCTCAACATCTTACTTAACCTCTCACTAGCACTTGATGTATACACACAACTGATTATTCCCACCTTCTTGGAACCATATTCTTCATTTGGATTCCAGGACACCACTGTCTTACTTTCCTTTCCACCTCATCGGCTGTTCCTTGTCTCTTTTGCTGGTTTTTCCTCTTCTCTCTCACCACTTAATGGCAGGATGCCCCGGGGTTAACTGTGTGCTGAAGCCAGTTATGTTTGGTTTTGTTTTAAAAGATTTTATTTATTTGACAGAGCAAGAGCACAAGCAGGGGGAGTGGCAGGCAGATGGAGAAGCAGGCTTCCCGCGGAGCAGGGAGGCTGATGTGGGACTCGGTCAAACGACCCTAGTATCATGACTGAGCCGAAGGCAGACACTTAACCGACTGAGCCACCAAGGCGCCCCTAGATGTGGTTTTAATTACGAAATATTTCAAATGTAGAAAACAGTATAAAAGCAGGCCTTTGTATGGTGTTTACTATGTGCTAGCCATTATTCTAAGTATGTTAGATACAGCGGTGTATCTAGCATGTCTGACACGCACAGCAGGTCAATTTTTACATCCTCTCCACTTCTTTCTTCTTTTTTGGGTAAACTTTATTTTTTTAGAGCAGTTTTAGTTTCAGAGCAAAATTGAGTGTGATATACAGAGAGTTCTCATATACCTTCTGTCCTTCACAGGCACAGCCTCCCACACCATCAACCTCCCACACCAGCATGGGACGTTGTTACAACTGATGTACCTACACTGACACATCATTATCACCCAAAGTCCATGGCATACTGTTAGATTTCTCGGACTGTTGTACATTATGAGTTTTGACAAATGTTTAATGACATATCTGCCATTACTGTATCATATAGAAGTTTCACTGCCTGAAAAAATCCCCTGTGCTCCACCTATTCCTCCCAACCTCCCAAACTCTGGCAACCAATGATCTTTTCCCCAGTCTCATCTTTTCCAGAATGTCATGTAATTGGAATCATAGTATGTAGCCTTTTCAGATTGGCTTCTTCCACTTAATAGTATGAACTTATATTTCCTCCATGTCTTTTCATGGCTGTGCTCCAGCAATTGACAAATCTGATTATACTGCTTATGGAACACAAATATGCAAAGATGATCAGTCTTGACAGCCATTGACAAATTTGCAGAAACTGTATCATTCATTCCTTTACCAATCCAATATGTAGGATAAAAGTTCTTAAGATACATTTTTGTAATTTAAAAAGTATTAATCTCGGGGCACCTGAGTGGCTCAGTCGTTAAGCGTCTGCCTTCGGCTCAGGTCATGATCCCAGGGTCCTGGGATGGAGCCCCGCATCGGGCTCCCTGCTCGGCGGAGAACCTGCTTCTCCCTCTCCCACTCCCCCTGCTTGTGTTCCTGCTCTCGCTGTCTCTCTCTGTCAAATAAATAAATAAAATCTTTAAAAAAAAGTATTAATCTCTTACCCTTTGTACTGCAATACTGGTTTTATTTTTAATTAAAAAATTTACTGGCATCTTATTGTTTTTTTTCAATGGACCACAAACTAGCATCATATTTAGATGAAGTTTAAAGTTTAATAAGATAATATTTTCACAGTTTATTTTCTGGCCACTACTAGTCATTTCATTTCAGGATTATTACTGAAAGTACTTTTTTCCTAACGGAGATGGGGTGGTCAAGAGAATGAGAAGACAAATCACAGACTGGGAGAAAATATTTATAAAACATGTATCTGATAAAGGACTGTTATCCAAGATATACAAAGAACCCTTAAAACTCTACGATAAGAAAACGAACAACCCAGGGGCTCCTGGCTGACTTAGAAGAGCATGCGACTCGATCTCGGGGTTGTGAGTTTGAGCCCCACGTAGGGTGTAAAGATTACTTAAATAAAACTTTTTTTAAAATAGGAAAAAAAAGAACAACTCAAATAAAAAAATTGGCTAAAGATTTGCATAGATATCTCACCAAAGAAGATCTACAGATAGCAAATACGATGCTCAACTCATATGTCATTAGGGAATTGCAAATTAAAACAGTAAGTTACCACTACACAGATATTAGGATGGCTAAAACTCAACCTAGCCTTTATTCACTCTGAGCTGGTGAGTCATTTTAAGGGTAAAAATATGCCCTTTTGCACTCAAGGATGCTATCCAAAGGGTGAAGCTTGATTTCTGCAGGAACACACAATACCTAAGAAAAGGGGGCGTGGTGCCTTCAGCCTAGTGCGCAAGCCCGACTGTAAAAGCAGTTAGGACTGCCCCTAGCCGCCTGATTAAAATATTTATCTCCAGCTGTTGGAGATTCCACTAACTCTACTATATTAACTTATTTATGGTAAGTGACCATACGTTTTTATTAATTTTTGAGACAGAAATTTCTCTCCGAGTCATCTTATTTCAATTGAGCATGTATTCATACTGAAGTGCCTTTTGTCCCCAGCCCCATTGTAAGCCCTCAATAAAGTTTGCACCATAGAGTGACATAACTTTTGCTAAAACAAAACAAAATAAAACAAAACCAAATCATCCCACTTCATAGGGTGCCTGGGGGAAGGAACGGAGTTTTTTTTTTTTTTCCCTCAGGCACTTCAGTAGTTGCCTATTTTCCCGGGGGCGGTGCCGCTTGTGGACCCCATGGACCCCGGTGAGGCCGCCATTTTGGAGTCTTCCCTAAGGAGCTTCCACTGGCTTTTCGCGCCGCTGCCGCCGCTGCCGCCGCTGCCCGCGGCCTTGCCGGGCAGGATGAATGTGATAGACCACGTGCGGGACATGGCGGCCGCGGGGCTGCACTCCAACGTGCGGCTCCTCAGCAGCTTGTTACTTACAATGAGTAATAACAACCCGTGAGTTGAGGCGGGGAGCGGCCTGGGGCTGAGGAGAAAGCGGCGCCGGTTTGGGAGCGGGGGCTGAGGGGGCGTGGGAACTGGCGGGAAGGAGCGCCCGCAGGCCTCAGCTGAGGCTTCGGGGTCATCGTCGGGCGGAGCCGATCTAGGGACGCGAGTTGAGTTGACTCGGTCTCTGCGCTGTACCAGACGCTGGGATGAGCTCCCTGAGGGAGAGGTGGCGAGCGGCGGCTTCGAGAAATGGAAGGCGGAGGCCCTGAGGGCGAGCCTGGCTAGGGTTTCCCGAAAGTTGTGAGCGGAGGGTTTCCTGAGGCACCTGTCGCCGGGCACAGCGACTGTCACTTCGCTGGGCCGACTCTCTTCCTGGCTCTTTCCCGAAGAACGTTTTATCGCTCGCCGCAGCTGCAGGAGGTCCACCCGGTCTTATACCTTCGTCCCCCATCTGAGATTGATTTTTCCCCTTCAGTGTGTCAGAAGGATCCACGTTCTGGCCTCCAAAACCCCTGAAAACGGGAGACCCCTTAGACGGGTGGGAGTGGCGCCCTTTTAAGGACACGCAGTGCCCCTTTCTTGTTTGATTGAGTCCAGTGACGGATGCAGCACAGGGCTGTTTCCAGCCTCGAGTGCGCGTTGCTCCCCTGCTTTCCTTCCTCCATTGTACTTACTTTTTTTTTTTTAAGATTTTATTCACTTATTTGACAGAGAGAGACACAGGGAGAGAGGGAACACAAGCAGGGGGAGTGGGAGAGGGAGAAGCAGGCTTCCCGCGGGGCTCGATCCCAGGACCCCGGGACCATGACCTGAGCCGAAGGCAGAGGCTTAAGGACTGAGCCACCCAGGCGCCCCTCCTCCATTGTACTTAAATTAAAATTCCTTCCCAAGGCCTCGGAGGCCAAACATTTTTCTCCCTGACCTCATTTCATGCCCTCGGCTCACTGTACTTCGGCCTTGCAGGCAGTTCCTTCTGTTACTTGAACCCACCAGGCTCGTTCTTAACTAAGGGCTTTGCGTTTGCTGTTTGGCTTGGCGTACACGTCAGTGAACTGTATCCTCAGTCAGGTTTCGGCTCAGATAACCTCTTCTAGGGAGCAGCTTCTATAACTGTCAGAATTGCCCCTGACCCTCACTGTTCATCCCTTTGCCCTGTTCTGTATTCTGCATCACTCTTTTTAAATTGAGATATAATTGACATATTTCAGGTGTGCAACATGACTTGTTAATTGTATCAATATATTGTGAAATGATCACAGTAAGTCTAGTTAACATCCACCACCACATGGTTTTTTTCTTACGGTGAGAACTTTTAAAGGTTTTATTTTCGTTTATTTATTTGACAGAGAGAGAGAGAGAGTGAATGGGGGGAGGAACGAAGGGAGAAGGACAGGCAGACTCCGCCCTGAGCGCTGAGTCCAACTCGGCTAATCTCACAGCCCCGAGATCATGACCAGGGCGGAAATCCAGAGTCTGATGCCCAACCAATTTAGCCACCCAGACTGACAAGAACTTTTTTAAGATCTGTATTCTGCATCACTCTTAACACCTAAGGAAGTCAGCACAGTGCCTTTGTGCAATGAGCACTCACATGTTTATTAAATGTGCTAAGGAAGTATGTACCTTAGGTAGGTAAAACTGTCCAAATTCACACATTTAGTAAGTGGAGGAGCCATGATGTCTGGGCGTTGGTCCTTCTGATTCTGAAAACTTTAGACCCACCACATTCTGCTACTTCTAAGTGGCATAATTGAATTTTCTACTCAGGGTGGATCCATTTGCATTTGGCCTGCTTTAGAAGCTGTCTAGGTCAGAAAGGAAAAGCCCCTTAAGTGCCTGTAATGCAGCTGCTGATATTTTATTTCCATTAGTGTGCTTGTGGACCTTGCTACACGAGACCCATCATTTCACCACCATCCACTTAGTGTTGACAGTGACGAGCCCTGGTCTCTTTCAGCCTTCTGTGTTTATTCTGGAGCCTTTCAGTTGGTTTTGAGTGATTGGTCAAGGCACACTTTCCACCATTGGGAATTTGTGCACCAGTTAGTCATTACTCTTGGTTCTTGAAGATGTTACAGGATAGAAGCAGTTTAATCCTCTGACTCGGCTTAGCCCATATTTCTTTCTATTAGGTTAAACTGGCAGTTTCCTAGCTTCAGGGAGGTCAGTTTAAATTCTGACCTTTACCATGTATTATTAAATGTTCTTACTGAATTGGCACTATACACAGTATGAAAAATTCAGATAGTACAGAAGAGGTATGCAGATAAGTGTCTGTCCTGATCTTGAACCTTACCCCACCATTTCCATTCTCCAGGCAACAACCAGTAACAGTGTCTCCCGTATCATTCCAAAGATAATTTATGGGTGCATAAGTAGGCATGTGTTACAATATATAAATGTCTGAATGCATTCTCTGAGTGTAGCAGTATTTTCTGTCAAATCTTATTTCTCAGTAAGTATGTAGAATCTCAGAGTTGGAAGAGATCTTAAGTGTCTGGACTATACCTTTAGTCCTTGAATTTCCTTTATAAGTTTATTTACTTATTTTTTAAGATTTTATTTACTTGACAGAGAGAGACACAGCGAGAGAGGGAACACAAGCAGGGGGAGTGGCAGAGGGAGAAGCAGGCTCTCCGCTCAACAAGGAGCCCGACGCGGGGCTCGATCCCAGGACCCTGGGATCATGACCTGAGCCGAAGGCAGACGCTTAACCGACTGAGCCACTCAGGCGCCCCCTAAATAAAATCTTTTTTTAAAAAATTGACATACCATTAGATTCTCCTTTTAAAGAATACATTTCTGTGGTTTTGAGTATATTCACAGTTGTACAACCATCACCATATCTATTCCAAACATGTTCATTATCCCCAAAAGAAACCCCGCATCTATTAGTAAGCACCCCTAATCCCACTTCCTCCAGCCCCTGGCAACCAGTAATCTCTGGTACCTATTCTTGAGTATCCTTCATTTGTTGACAAATTAACTGTTTACAGAGTTGACTGTGACTGTTCTTTCATTTTAAGTGGCTATAGCTTTTACCTGTCAAAGAAAAACGTGTAAATTCCTCTTAATTTGGCAGGAGTCAGGGCAATGAGGGGGGAGTGGAATTGGAGATTAAAAATATATGTTTCCCATTAAGAATGGTGGCCAGCTTGGAGGCAGTTACAATGCTTGTGAGCAATGTTCAACATTAATGAAAAAGTTTTGAAACGTTGTTTTACTCTGTCCTCAAACCCCTGAGACTCAAGGAGATAAAAATTCTTTTAGTGTTAATAAATTTACTTTTGAGGCGCCTGGGTGGCTCAGTTGGTTGGTCATCTGCCTTCAGTTTGGGTCATGATCCTGGTCCTGGGATCGGGCCCCATGTTGGGCTTCCTGCTCGGCTGGGAGTCTGCTTCTCCCTCTCACCCTCCCTCTGTGCTCTCTCTCAAATAAATAAATAAGAAATCTTTAAAAAATTTTTAAAAATGAAATTTGCTTTTGTATGTAAAATTTAAAAAAAACTTTCATCAAATAAGGCTAATCCTCTTTCTATCCCACTTTATCTCATTGGCTTGTCCTATTCTATTCCCATTCTTCAGCTTTTTATATTCCCATTTGCAGTATTTGAAGAGTTTTCAGTTCCTTTGAAGCCTCTTTTTTACAGCACTTTCCTAAAAATGTTTCAAAGCGGTGAGGTCTCACTTTTCCAGGTTCTTCAGCCCTTCTTTGGTAGTATTAATTAAATCATTGTTTCTCTCCTTTGTCTATATTATGCTAAAAATTGATGCTAATGTAAGAAAGTATGGCTATATATCAAACTGTTAAATTAAGAGGGCTTTGGGGGGCGCCTGGGTGGCTAAGTTGGTTAAGTGTCCAACTCTGGATTTCGGCTCAGGTCATGATCTCATGGTGGTAAGATTGAGCCTTGCACTGGACTCCATGCTGAGCATGGAACCTGCTTAAGATTCTCTCCCTCTCTTTCTCCCCAACCACTCCACTTGCACACGCTCTTGCACTCTCTCTTTAAAAAAAAATAAAGAGGGTTTGGGCTAAAGAAGGGAAGGAGAAGATGTATAACATTTCTCTTTGTATATCTGTGTATTATTGAATTTGATTTAGAGGTATCCTTACTTTTATAGTAAATAAAGGAGAAAAGCTTATTAAAACAGTAATTTAAAGCAGTTGCCTGGATGTATTGACCATATTAGCACAGAGTACAACTCTTATGCCTCTCATTTTAGGGACTAGCACTTAGGATACAATGACTTTTGTAAGCTGTCATTACACGAGGCTTTATGGTAGACTTATGTGGGTGCACACTAAGGAGGGTGTCTAACATTTCAAAATAACCCATGTAGGGGGTATATTTTCTTTGTTTTCTAGTGAGTTATTCTCCCCATCTCAGAAGTACCAGCTTTTGGTGTATCATGCAGATTCTCTCTTTCATGATAAGGAATATCGGAATGCTGTGAGTAAGTATACCATGGCGTTACAGCAGAAGAAAGCCCTAAGTAAAACTTCAAAAGTGAGACCTTCAACTGGTAATTCTGCATCTACTCCACAAAGTCAGGTAAATGGAGATGGAAGTGTGATTTTTTTTTGAGAGAGAGACTGAAGGAATTTACAAGACTGCTGATTAGATGTAGAAGATGGAAAAAATAAGTAATTTTAAAGGGGAGCTGACTGGAGAAACAAAGATGAAAAATCACTTAGAGCAAGGATGCAAAATTCACTCTGGATGAGCTAAATATGGAGTTAAACATGAATTATATGGGTTCACTGAAGTTCTGCATTGTTCCTCCCTTTTATACAAACAATTCAAAATCTAAAGTGTTTTTATAATTTTAATTAAAGTACAAATTTTAAAATGTAACTCAATTATTAAGATTGTGAGTACCTAGGGAAATTTATGGGAAATATTCCAAGAACTTCTGCAGTTTCAGTAGCTTGATAATTAAATAAATGAAGGGGAAAATTGTAATTTCACAGAGTCCTCTGATTTGACAGAGTCGTCCAGTTGCTAGAAATTACCCCTATTAGACTCGCAGGTTTACAGGGTATATCATATAACCAAGGCTGCTTATTGCAGCAATTTTAATGGTAAGAAACTAGAAGCAAAAGTTTTCATCAGTAAGGTCTAGTTAAATTAGAGCATAGCCATAAGATGGAATGTGATGGAACTATTACTTAAATGAAAAATGAGATAGAGGTGCACATGCTGATTTGGAAAGAATTATATATATTAGTAAGGAAAATACGGTTTGAAGAAATGTTTCAATGCTTTCTGTTTAAAGGGGATAGTTTATAGATATATAAATATATCCTGGTATATGCCTAATATATATGTATACACACACACACACACTGGTAATATGCATGAAAGATTTTGTGTGTTTGAAGGAAAGCAATTTAATGGTAGAAAGCTTTAGGGAGAGGGAAACTTTTACCTTGCAATTTGACCCTGTCTTTAAGTTTAAATTACATGTGCAACTTATATTTAAAAGGAATGTCAGTGGGGCACCTGGGTGGCTCAGAGCGTTAAGTGTCTGCCTTTGGCTCAGGTCATGATCCCAGGGTCCTGGGATCGAGCCCCGCATCGGGCTCCATGCTCTGCGGGAAGCCTGCTTCTCCCTCTTCCACTCCCCCTGCTTGTGTTCCCTCTCTCGCTGTGTCTCTCTCTGTCAAATAAATAAATAAAATCTTTAAAAAAAAAAAAAAAGGAATGTCAGTAAAAATTAATAAATACATACATACAGATGTACGTACATACAATAGAAGAAATGTCAGTAGAATGAGCTGGGAGTGAAATTATAAGTCATGTTTTTTCTACTTTGTATTTTTCCACATTTTGTAAAAAGACAAATTAGTTGCTCTATTTTTAAAGCCTCTTGATTTTCATCTTGTCTCTTTAAAACATTTGAGTTTTGTTACTAAAGAGCTGATTGCCAGGATTTTCTTTGTTTTCTTTTTTTCTTTTATTTTTGTTTATTTTATTTTTAAGATTTATTTATTTGAGAGAGAGAGAGAAAGAGAGTCAGAGGGAGACAAGCAAGACTCCCTGCTGAGCAGCAAGCCTGGTGCCGGGCTCTCTCCCAGGACCCTGAGGTCATGACCCGAGCCGAAATCAAGAGTCAGATGCTTAGCTGACTGAGCCACCCAGGTGCCCCTATTTTATTTTTTTAAAGTACTCTATATACCCAGTGTGGGGCTCAAACTCACAACCCCAAGATCAAGAGTTGCATGCTCCACTGACTGAGCCAGCGAGGCACCCCAGGATTTTCTGTTTTCTGGCACTGAATGGAAGTCATGTATATTATCCACATAGGGTCATTCATAGAAGTAGCTAACTTTTTAGTATTCAGTATGCCAAGCACCATGCTAAACCTTTCATGTTAATTAAATACATTTAATTTTTAAGGAATTTTTTTGATCTCACATTAAAAAAAATTTTTTTTTTTGAGTTTTTGTTTTAATTCCAGTTGGTTACCATTACAGTGCCATATTATTTTCAGGTATACAATATAGTAATTCAACACTTGCATACATCACCCTGTGCTCATCATGACTAGTGCATTCCTTAATGCTCATCACCTACTTAACCCCTCCCCTCACCTCCTTCCCCTCTGGTAACTATCAGTTCTCTATAATTAATCTTTAAGGAATTTTTTTTTCTTTTTTTTTTTTTTTAAAGATTTTCTATTTATTTATTTTACAGAGAGAGACACAGCAAGAGAGGGAACACAAGCAGGGGGATTGGGAGAGGGAGAAGCAGGCTTCCCGCGGAGCAGGAAGCCCGATGTGGGGCTTGATCCCAGGACCCTGGGATCATGACCTGAGCCAAAGGCAGTCGCCCAACGACTGAGCCACCCAGGCGCCCCAGGAATTTTTCAAAAATTAAGATATAATGTCATAAAATTAACAATTCAGTAGGTTTTAGTATGTTCACAAAATTGCACAACTGTCACCGCTGTTGAATTCCAGAACATTTTTATCACCCTAGAAAATTCCCATGCCTGTTACCTCCTCAGCCTCTGGGAATCACTAACCCCTCTGTCTATGGATTTGCATGTTCTGGACATTTCATATGAATGGAATCATACAACATGTGACCTTTTGTGTCTGGCTTCTTTTACTTTAGCATAATTTTTTCAAGTTTGATCCATGTTATAGCATGAATCAGTTCTTTGTTCTTTCCTTTTTATTGCCACATAATATTCCATTGTATGGGAGTGCCTGGGTGGCTCAGTCAGTTACGCATCTGCCTTTGGCTCAGGTCATGATCTTAGGGTCCTGGGATCGAGCCTCGAGTCAGACTCCCTACTCAGTGGGGAGTCTGCTTCTTTCCCTCTGCCCCCTCCCCCCCATTCGTGCTCACTCTCTTGCTCTTGCAAATAAATAAATCTTAAAAAAAAACTCCATTGTATGGATATGCCATATTTTATGTATTCATTAGTTGACGGACATTACTTCCACTTTTTGTCTATCATTAATAATGTTGGTGTGGACATTTGTGTGCAGGTTTTTTGTTTTGTTTTTAAGTAGGCTCCATGACCTGAGCTGAAATCAAGAGTCGGATGCTTAACTGATTGAGCCACCCAGGCACCCCAACATTTGTGTGTAGGTTTTTGTGCAGACATAGGTTTTTAGTTCTCTTGGCTGTATGTGCGGGAGCAGAATTGCGGGCTCATATGGTAACTCTGTATAACATTTTAAAGAACTGCCATATTTTGAAGTAGTATTTTGAAGAAATGTCTTCATTGCCTCTTAGTGTCTTCCATCTGAAATTGAAGTGAAATACAAAATGGCTGAATGTTATACAATGCTAAAACAAGATAAAGATGCCATTGCTATACTTGATGGGATCCCTTCAAGACAAAGGACTCCCAAAGTAAGTTGAATTAACAATTTGTTACATAATATTCATCTACCCGGTCCTTCCAACCCACTTCCTCCATGTTTTCTCCATGCCTTAGGGAGTCCATCTGAACATTTTACTCTTGACTCACTTTGTTCCCCTGTTAATGGAGTGGATGAGGTTCAGAGAGATAGAAGAATTACTTTCTTAGGAAACCCTGAAAATTCAGCTGATGAAAATGATAGCTGGAGAATACTACAAGTGCTCATTCTTTGGTATTTCTTACCATAGGAAGTAATAATTTGCAAATGCTTCCAGGTGGCAATGGTACTTTTTTTAGAACTCATGTTTTGCATGCTGTAGGCGCCTCCATTTGATAATGTGAATGAGCTTATTAATCCCTTTGTTTTAAAAATCCAAGATTACAAGATCTTTATGTACTTATTTGTATGTGGGATATATATTTGTGTTTGATTTGGCAACATATTATAATCAGTAGAACACCTTCAACTGAAATCAAGAGATCTGGTATCTTGTCTGAGTTTAGGGCATACAAGCTGTGTACTGTGTAGTGTGAACTTGAGCAAGTTACCAATCTGAACTTTACTTTTTTTTTTTAATTTATAAAATGAGGTTAATAATACTTTGCTGACCTTTGGAAAAATAAATAAGTTCATATGTGAAAGAATACTTTTTAAAATACTATTCTGTAAGGAGTATTATATTGGATATCTTTGATTACAGTTTGTTTTGAGTCTTAAAAGAACAATGAGAATCCTTGCTCTTAGTATTGAATTCACATCAGTAGTTAATATTCTAACATCTGCTCTCATGTCGCCTGCCTTCCTCACTTCATTGAAGAACCATTCGGTGCAACTTGTGCTTAACAATGAGGAATTTTATATGTAAGATGTCTGTGTACATTCTCCTGCCCTTAAAAGAAAAGGAATCTAAGCAGTGGTAATATTTAGTGTTTTTTCACCTAAGTGTTGCTGAGTTTTAAAAGTAACCAAAACTTGATGAGAATGTGTTTAAGCATCTCCTTATATTGAGAATTTATTTACTATTTTCTGAGTATGTTAAAAACTAAGCTCTTTCCTTAGTTTATTTTATGCTATTAAGAACATTTGGAAGCATATTATAGACTAACCTGTCTCAAAATAAGCTTGCATGCTTTATACTAAATTGTTTTCTGATACACTATGAAAGACTTATCCCAAGTATAATTTTTTTACATATGTGAAGAGTGTCTTCCTTTTGGAAGATGCCATTTTGATTATAAACTTGAATGATGCCTTTTCCTTATCTTATTGGAAATGTACCACAATTTCCTCAATGACTTGAGGGTGGGGACATTTTTTGAAAATGAGTAATGGCAGATAAGCTCAGTTTGTGGTATCCAACGCTTTGGTGTTTAAAGCCATCATTTTAAGAGGGACTGGAGGAGTCCACATTTGTTAGGAGTACATATCCTTCATTCTGTAGAGCTGTTGTAGCCAGGAACAAACAAAGATGTGTGCCTCAAACATAAACCTATAATATTTACAGTTTTTCTTTCTTGTCCGTTAGGGAGTTAACTGGCTTCTCAGTCTGTGTAAAGGACAAGGAAGTGAGTCAAAATACGTCTAAATGAACGTCTGTTAATGTATGGTAAACACCACCACACATTTCTTCACATTTTAAAGGAAAATTCCAGTGTGAGATTATTATAACTTGGTAAATCTTCAACTTTCAAGAGTAAACATATCAACATAAAATTTCTCACTCAGTTTTAAGAAAAAGATGACTGCTTATGTTTCTAACTGGTGGAATATGGCTTTGTGATGTTCCCAAGTAAGGATCTGTTCTAAAGAGAATTGACTTTCTCATAGGTAGTACCCAAAACTCATTCTTTTGAAGTGACAGGTAGTTTAAAGGGAATTTTAATATTTGTTGAGACAGATGGTCTCTAGGTCATAGTTTGTTAATCACAAGCAGTCAAGAAAGGATCTTAAATTTAACCTTTTATTCTTTTCAAGTATTGACACTAATACTGGAGTTTTCCTTTAAGTATTTTCTTTTGCATTTTCAACATAGCCTAAAATGGAAAAGCTGAGGCCAAATAAAGTTTTATTTCTAGTATTTCATTATTTCATTATTTGAATCATCAGTATGGATTAATGCCATACTAGATTGTTTTATATACTGTAAGTCATAATTGGAACAGAGTTCTTCATCTTCAGAGCCCTCTTTTGAGTAAATATCTGGCGTACAGGCTACAAATAACCAAAGAGATTGGGGATTGGCTTTTTTTGTATATCCTCATGTTGACTGCTTCCGTAGGTTAATGATCTGGCAAACACTGCTTTGTTTAAGATTTATTAATTTTAAATTGGAATGTTCTTTTTTTCTCTCTGTACTATTAAGATCATTTACTTTTCCTTGTAACTTCTACGTTCTTTGGAACTTTTAGGTTTTCCTAGATTTTCCTTGTTGTGTTTTAGAAAGGGTTATTTTAAAAGAGCTCTACTGAGTTACAAATTTGAATTGTGCTAAAAATGCATTTACTGGATTTAAATGATGTAGCTCATCTCTGGATCATTGTACCTCCAGAGGTGAGTTAGAGTTTGATTTTTGTAGCATCACTTTGATGAGTCAGATAGTACCTGTGGGTCCATGCTTTCAGTGTTAGAAAAGCTAGAGTCTAGCTGCCAGGATAATTGTCAGAGAGAATCCAAGTATTTAATTCTGTATCTGTCGTTTTCTTTTTGGGGAAAATTCATCTGCTCTTTCTTAACAAGCTATGTTAAGAATTCCTCATTTTCTTATGTCTTGATATTAATTGCATTTAAAATATGTAAACTTGAGCACTTCTAGGGTAGTTCATCTTCTTTCTTAAGATCAAGAAAGAATCAAGGTAATTAGAATTCTGTAACATTTCTCAAATAAATATTACTCCCATTTCCAGAGACAGCATCTTTGGTCCAGATAGTACGGGACCTTTTGGTTGGGTAAGTGAGAGGAATTTGACTTTCCTCTTAGAAATGGAAGGATGTAGGAAGAGCGAAGGTAGTAATTTCTCTTTGGTTTGAAGAGTGGGATTGGTCTTCATTTATTTCCACAGGGCTGTGGGTAGATTTTCCAGGAAAAAGTAGAATAGTAGCTGGTAATAAAAAAATCAGGACTTAATTGGCGGTGAGATATTTTCTTTGCAATATGCGCGTATCTTACTGTCTTTTGTTTTTGTTTATTACAGATAAACATGATGCTGGCGAACCTGTACAAGAAGGCTGGTCAGGAGCGCCCTTCAGTCACCAGCTATAAGGAAGTGCTGAGGCAGTGCCCTTTAGCCCTTGATGCCATACTAGGTACAGGTCATTCTCAGCCTATTTCTATGGATGTTTACTCTCTGAGATGGTAGTTCTCATTCTTAGCTGTACATTAGAATCTGTATGTGCCAGGGCACCTGGCTGGCTCAGTTGGAAGAGCTTGCGACTCTTGATCTCAGGGCATGAGTTCAAGCCCCATGTTGAGTGTAGAGATTTACTAAAAAGGCAAATTAAAAAAAAAAATTTGCCCCTGCCTAACTTCCAGAGAGTGATTCAGTAGATTACTGTTGTCATGTATTTTTCACAGATCAAGAAACATTAAATTATGGTTGTTTCGTCATCTGCATCTTGCTGAGAATAGCAAAAGGGTTACCTCGTTGCCAACAGAAAGAGTAGCCTAATGCTTCCTGCATTGTGGAAGAGGGATGCTATGCTTCACCTTATTTCTCCTGTTTTCTGTTGGATTAGGTTTGCTTTCCCTTTCTGTAAAAGGCGCAGAGGTGGCATCGATGACAATGAATGTGATCCAGACTGTGCCTAACTTGGATTGGCTCTCTGTGTGGATCAAAGCATATGCTTTTGTGCATACTGGTGACAACTCGAGAGCAATCAATACCATCTGGTGAGAGCCACAAAGTTAATTCAGTGTTCTTGAGGCCCTGTCCTTTATGGAGGTCTGGTGTGAAATAGAAATTAGCAAAATAGAAGTATGAGATGCTTATTTCTTGGTGTTGCAGCCTGTTGTCCTCAGGCTTGCTTTAGTCTCTTAATGTAGTTTTTTTTTTTTTTTTTTTTAAAGATTTTATTTATTTGACAGCGAGAGACATAGAGAGGGAACACAAGCAGGGGGAGTGGGAGAGGGAGAAGCAGGCTTCCCGCAGAGCAGGGAGCCCGATGCGGGGCTCGATCCCAGGACCCTGGGGTCATGACCCGAGCCGAAGGCAGATGCTTAACGACTAAGCCACCCAGGCGCCCCTAGTCTCTTAATGTACTTAATGGTCCTAAGGATAATATCTCTGCTGTGAGGACCTGTTAAATGTAAACTTTGACCAAGTTCAGCTCTGTATTTGCAAAAGTGGTAACCCTTGCACAGCCGGCTGCGTCAGTTTTCATGCTGGAACCTGGAAGAACAGCTTTTTGGATGTCCTAGAAGCATAGATTGCAGCATCTGACTTGGGTTGCCTCTTTAGGACTGGGATTTTCTTTCTAGTCAATTGAAGTCCAAGGATAAGAGACTGGGTTTTGTGTTATGCAAAGTCACTTTTGAATGACATTACCTTTAGCACCATGTTGTCCTCTGAAAACCTGCAACCAGAAAGTTCTCAGTAATGAGAGAGAATTCTGCATCATTCTGTATATTGACTTTCTTATTGTGTATAACTTTCTTTAAATCATAAGCTCAGAATAAGAAAATCTAGTGTATATGGTTTGTTTGAAAAGCTTATTATGAAAAATGTCGTATGTATGCCAAGAAAAGTGCTTATATGCCTGTCACCCAGATTCAGAAACTAAGAGGATTCATAATAAATCTTAAGGGTCAATGTTTAATATTTTGAAGTTCACTAGAGAAAAAGTCCTTATTGCGAGATAACGTGGACCTGCTGGGAAGCTTAGCAGATCTGTACTTCAGAGCTGGAGACAATAAAAACTCTGTCCTCAAGTTTGAACAGGCACAGATGTTGGATCCTTATTTGATAAAAGGTAAGTAATTCTTGAGGCATGGTGGAAGTGGCTGCAGAGGGGAGGATCAGAAAAGAAAGGGAGACAAAGTAGCATAATATTCTTTTTTTTTTTTTTTAAGATTTTATTTATTTATTTGACAGAGGGAGACACAGTGAGAGAGGGAACACAAGCAGGGGGAGTGGGAGAGGGAGAAGCAGGCTTCCCGCTGAGCGGGGAGCCCAATGCGGGGCTCGATCCCACCTAGGTGGCTCAGTCGGTTAAACGTCTGCCTTCGGCTCAGGTCACGATCCCAGGGTCCTGGGATCAAGTCCCGTATTGGGCTTCTTGCTCAGGGGAGAGCCTGCTTCTCCCTCTGCCTGCCACTCCCCCTGCTGGTGCGCGCTCTCTCTCTGACAAATAAATAAAATCTTTTTTTAAAAAGTCATGACCTGAGCCGAAGGCAGACGCTTAACGACTGAGCCACCCAGGCGCCCCAGTAGCATAATATTCTGATACCATTTTCATAGAAATACTTTGTGAAACTTGTTCTAGTAGCCTTTTACCATTTTTTACGTCTGATACATGTCTCTAACACTTGAGTAATTCCATTTTGAGTAGTTGTTTTTGCTTGAATTCAAGTGTCATCTCCAGGCAGATCATTATTTGGCTTTTTTGGGGGGAAGGGTGATAGCCCTTCCTTATGATTTTTAAATTTCTGGTGTGCCTGACTGAGAATTTGGATGGCATCCCCAAAACCATAATATCCTTTTAGGGGATTTAGCTTTACTGTATCCTTAGTATACTTAAAAGGGAGTAAGTGAACAGGCATTAAGTAAGGAGTGAGGTGACTAAAGGAAGTAATTAGGAATGAACAACAACAAAAAATTGATTTCAAAGACTGTAGCTGAAGGGGTGAGCTATAGGGACTTCCAAAGGATGAGTGTCCAGTGACTGGCAGTGAGTGATGGGTAGTAGGAAATAAAGTCTGACAGGCTGGAATCTGCTTATAAAGTCCCAGAAGAGGCCATCAGAAAAATATGGCCTTGTGACAGTAGTTAGTCCTGTAGACTCTTAAGCAATGAGAACTACAGAGCAGGGAGATGAGAGAACAGATCCAGAAAGATGAAATTGTTTGCCCAAGGTCTCCCTCCTGCCCAGTGCTTATTTCTCTTCTCTGAGTTTTGCCTGTGCCCATGATGAAAATGGTGTATTAGAAATACTAGTCTGGCAGTAGTTGGCAGCTTGGAGTTGAAAGCTCAGGCCCGAGTTTGGGGGCCAGCAGGGAGTATTGCAGTGATCTTGGCAAGAGAGACATTTTCCTGGGAGTTTGAAGGGGTAACAAGGAATGAAGGGGATGGTGGTAAGAGATGGATGACAGCAAGCATGGGACCCTTTTTATAGAACACGAGTAAGAATAAGCAGGGAGTGGGGTGATCTTAAATCAGCTGGACTCCAAAAGAACTAGTTGCTTTTTCTGGAATAGGCTACTTTTTCTGAGACTAACCAGCATATTAAGTATGTACTCTGGACTGTGCCCAGGCTTCTTGAAGAAAAGAAATTACGTGATGCCTTTTTGGGCCTTTCCTGGTTATGAGTTAGGATAACTGTATATCATGTCACAGGACAAACAGTTCCCAAAAATAATTGGCTTTCAAATTGTGAGTTGTAGACCCTTCTACTCCTTTGCTTTTTAAACTTTTTGGATGTGTTTTGTCTTTTTAATAGTCATTTTTTTCGGGACACCTGGGTGGCTCAGTCGGTTAAACGTCTGCCTTTGGCTCAGGTCACGATCCCAGGGTCCTGGGATCAAGTCCCGTGTTGGGCTTCTTGCTCAGGGGAGAGCCTGCTTCTCCCTCTGCCTGCCACTCCCCCTGCTGGTGTGCGCGCTCTCTCTGACAAATAAATAAAATCTCTTTTTAAAAAGTCATTTTTTTAATTTAAGATTTATCTATTTATTTTAGGGAGGGAGAGAGAGCTCATAAGCCATAGTGGGGGGAGGGGCAGAGGGAGCCCTGCTGGGAGCAGACTCCCCAATGAGCACAGAGCCTCGTGGGGCTTGATCTCACCATCCTGAGATCATGACTCAGGAAATCAAGAGTCAGACTCCCAACTGACTGAGTCACTCAGGTGCCCCTTTAATAGTCATATTGTAGGAAAGTGAGAATGCTGGTGGGAGGAGCTCATGCTGGTGGAAAGGGCTCAGACCACGCTGGAGCTGGGGCTTGAGTGGGGCTCTGATGAAGGCTGTTGCTCTTTAATAAAGGACACCTGCTGCTTTTTAAAAAAGCCTCTTCCTTTCCAGGAATGGATGTATATGGCTACCTCCTGGCAAGAGAAGGGCGGCTAGAAGATGTGGAGAACCTTGGCTGCCGCCTTTTCAATATTTCTGATCAGCATGCAGAACCCTGGGTGGTCTCTGGGTATGTTTATGCATTCTTTTTTTCTCTCCAGTTTTCAGTACACTCTTTGGGAAATTGTGGTTCCTCCCAAATAGCATATAGGTTGAAAACACAGGTTTAAGAGATAATCAGACTTAGAATTCAGATCAAGCTCTTTGACTTTGGACACATTAGTTAACTCACTGAGTCTTTTCTCAGACTTTCATGGGGTAGGTATCCACTGAGATAGTGCATCGTGCTCAGCACTGGAAGCCATCAGCGAACAGGCCAGAAGCTGCTGCTTTGTTATTTACCATGGCTTTACAGATTTCTCTGAATATCTCTCACTTAATAACATATCCAGATATCAGGTTCTTTCCCATAACTTTTCCCTTCCATATCAATATTTCCCCTTCAAAATAAACGTTTAGATTTTTTTTTTGTCATTCCCCCCCCCCCCCCCCCGCTAATATCTCAGGTAAAGCTGTAAGTTTGCTTTGTAATAAGGATCAGGTAGAGGTCCTTCTGTTTGGTTCTGAATGAAGTTTCTTTACCATTTTCTCTCAGGTAATGTTGCATTGTTTTTTTTTCTCCAGGTGTCATAGCTTTTATAGCAAACGCTATTCTCGGGCCCTCTATTTAGGAGCCAAGGCCATTCAGCTGAATAGTAATAGTGTTCAAGCTTTGCTACTTAAGGGAGCAGCACTTAGAAACATGGGCAGAGTCCAAGAAGCAATAATCCACTTTCGGGAGGCTATACGGCTTGCACCTTGTCGCTTAGATTGTTATGAAGGTAAGATGAAAAATAGAGATGGATGGTGTGAATCTCTAGGTGTGTAGCATTAGCTCTCAGATGGAAGGTTTTAATTTTTGCTTTTTTGAGAGAGAGAGCATATGCGCTCACGAGTTATAGGGGGAAGAGGCAGAGGGAGATAGAGAATCTTAAGCAGGTTCCACACCCAGCATGGGGGCTTGATCTCACAACCCTGAGATTATGACCGGAGCCGAAATCAAGAGTTGGGATGCTTAACTTACTGAGCCACCCAGGCGCCCCCGGATGGAAGGTTTTGTGAGGCCAGCAGTTCCCAAACTCTCTTGCATGTTAGAGTCCTCTGGGGGCATTTTTAAAAATCCTCATGCCAGGTCACTCCAATACTATCTAAATCAGAATATTGTGGTTGGGAGATAGACACCAGTATTTTTTTGAAGACCCCAGGTATTGCCAGTACGTGGATGAGTTTGGGAATCACTGCATTAGGCATTTAAAAAATCATTTATGGCTTTCACTGGACCTTCAGAATATATTTTTTTCACTCTCTTTTCCTGGTTTTTGGTGAGGGAGTAGTTGGGGATGGTCTTTTGTCCTATTTTTATTTCTCAGACATGGCCCACTCCTTAATGTGAATCTGTGCTGGCACTGTGCTAGATCGCTTGGTTTTGTCTTTATTCTTTTTTAACAGTTGTTTTACCTTGGGTCAGAAATATTACTCAAGAGGGTAACTTCATATCCATAGGACAGTGTTGGTTGTGGGAACTAGTCAGTTCATTGTGACCTCCTGAGTGGGCATGATCAGGGTCAAACTTTGTTTTGTTACGTACTATTTTAAGTTCGTGTGAACTGACCCTAGGAGTTCAAAGGATGCATGCCAGCTTCAGCAACATTTGGTGACTCAGTCACAGATGTTAAAATAGATCTTAAAAGATGCAGTTCCTCCAAAGCATATTTTTATAAGAATTTAAAAATAAACCCAGGAGTCTAGAGTGACTTGCTCTTAACAGGAAGATGAGTTCAGATTTGAGAAAATTTGGAAGTTGGGGTAAAGAACAAATCTGCTTAGATAGAGAACTATGCATATTGTGGATTTGTTCTTAAAGTATCCCCAGCAAACCAAGATTTTGGTTCCAGATTAAATTTTTGATCCTGAAACTACCTACCTAGCCTCTCAGCTGCTTTTATCACACTAATTCCTTTCTGCTGCATGCCTGTTTCACAAGAGCCCAGGATTGCAGTTGAATAATGAACTCCACAATGCTTGGGCAGAGGATGGTTAGAGTCTTTGGGAGCAGAGGACCTTTCTCAGGCCAGTGAGGCTTCATGGGTTGCCTGCACTCAAGCTACCATTTGGAGTTTTGAAGTAGGGTAACTGATTATGCTCTCTGGTGCTTCTTGTAACCCCCTCTGAGCTTCCTTTATTGGCGGAGGCATTGGAGTAGTGAAGAACATTCTTTCCATTTCCTTCTGAAGTTCCAAGAGGGACTTTAGCAGGGAAATAAAACTGCTCAATAAGTAGTTGCAAACAACTATATTCTGAATCCAGCACGTTGGCCTGAAGAGTTAAGTAATTTCTGGTTAAGTAACCATAGTGTGTGGTAGAATGTGCACAAATATTATAAATGCTGCTAGGGTGGAGGAGTGCATAGAGAAAATCTGCCAGGGATGCGTGGGTTTGGGGTTTAAGCTGTTTTTCTGTTTTGATGAGAGCTTTCTGTCAAAAAGTACTTCCTCTGTTCTCAAGTTCTTGGCAAGAAGAGTTGAGAGTTGTCTCTGCTTGAGGTGTCCCCATAGGGCATCTGGTGGGCATGGTAAGAGGCAGGAGCTGCCAGTCTCTGTGTATTTGGTCCATCTGACAAGCGTTTTCCACCTAGGTTAGGGAAACCCTCAGCAAATATCTTTCGAGATAACTTTTATGTTTCAAATGAAAAGTTGTCCTTTCTTCTTAGGTTCTTCCGTAGGTCCATTACTAGAAATTACACTAAACTAGTAGTTTTGTAGAACCGGACATTCACTTGGAACTGTAAAGCTCTTCCACATAAGCCTAGGACTAAAGGTGACTGAATACAGCCAGAAATTAATAGCTCGTTAAGAGGCAATGGAACCTTGCGCTTTGTTGTCAACGTCATCTCTATTTCAAGTAATGATTAAGGTCTTATTCCTCTGACATTCAGCTGGGCTGCCTACCTGCTTCATTTTATTTATGCGTGTTTGTTTCCTTTGCTAACTAAAGGAGGCTTTGCAATGCATGCAGCCTTTTTCTACATCCCTGAAGTGCCCTGGGGAAGAGCACTTCTTATTGCATCAACATACTCTCTAGTCCCATGTCATCAGAGTTTTCCCCTGGCCTGCCCTTTGTCTGAAGCTTTGAAGGTTTGCAGTTTGGAAGGCTGTCAGAGTGGAAGCATTGCTTAGAATAGTAATGTGGTTGAACTTTCTATTTTTTCAGGTCTCATTGAATGCTACTTGGCTTCCAACAGTATTCGTGAAGCAATGGTAATGGCTAACAACGTTTACAAAACTCTAGGAGCAAATGCACAGACCCTTACCCTTTTAGCCACTGTTTGTCTTGAAGACCCAGTGACACAGGAGAAAGCCAAAACTTTATTAGATAAAGCCCTGACCCAAAGGCCGGATTACATTAAGGCTGTGGTGAAAAAAGCAGAACTACTTAGTAAGTGTATCTTATTTACTTCCCTTTTGTTGTTAATTGTATAAAATCTGATCTCATTTGGAGTTCCTGGTCCCAGCTGGTTACAGATGACCAGACAGGTGTGTGCCTTTTGTAGTAGATTTGAGCCTATATGAATTGGTGTATATTTAGCACAACCAAATGTAGATGGCTTAGACCGGCTTGGATTGGCAGTGACTCACTTTTTGAGTGGCTCAAACCAGCTACACTTGGTTGGTACCTGTTCAGATCACTTTGATCTGGTTTTGGTTTTCCTGAACTAGTTTGGGCTGAATAGAACTGGTTTTAGCCAGCTTGAACTATTTCAACCCATCTTGATTTGCTTATGACTTTCCTTTTAGCTTTGGTTTTTTTAGTCCTGATTTATGATGAAATCCTGGGATTGGGCTAGTTTGGCAAATAAAATGCATTTTGGCTTTTTATTTGAATTTAGGTTAAGAGTATAATTTAAAAAATTAGAACTCAAGCTCCACATTTTTTTTTTTTTTAAAGATTTTATTTATTTGACAGACACAGCGAGAGAGGGAACACAAGCAGGGGGAGTGGGAGAGGGAGAAGCAGGCTCCCCGCAGAGCAGGGAGCCTGATGTGGGACTCGATCCCAGGACCCTGGGATCATGACCTGAGCCGAAGGCAGTCGCTTAACCGACTGAGCCACCCAGGCGCCCAAGCTCCACATTTCTTAATGGAATAGGAATTCATATGAGCTTTTTCTTCTTTCTTGCCATACCACTATTCTCTTAAGGACATCTACAAAGAGATTATTGGATTGTGATCATTGTTGTGGTTTTGTGTATATGATTTGAGATGGGAGTGTATTTTCAAAATGTTGTGTTAAGTGGGAAAATGAGGATCTTTTTTCTTTTTAGGCAGAGAACAGAAATACGAAGATGGAATTGCTTTGCTGAGGAACGCACTAGCTAATCAGAGTGACTGTGTCCTGCATCGGATCCTAGGAGATTTCCTTGTAGCTGTCAATGAGTATCAGGAGGCAATGGACCAATATAGTATAGCACTAAGGTAGGCACTTAGCCTCCCATGGGGGGAAGGTCAATGAGGGGAAGAGGAGTCAGGGAACTATGTAATAGGAATTCTGGAAACACACACTTTTGTGCCCATGGTTGAAAACAGAGTAATAATAGTAATGGTAGAAGAGTTATTTGTGAGTTCTAAAAAAAAATTCATAAAGTATAAGCAACATTGAACTGTTTCACTCATAACCAGCCCATATCACTATATCACCTGTTTTCATTTGTATAGATCATCTTCCTGGCCTTGCCCACACATAAACATATTTTTATAGGGTATATGTAGTATATATTTTATATTCTGCTTTTTCAAATCAAAGTATTGTAAGTACTTTCCCATGTTTCTACCTACTGTAGTAAAGAACTTAAGCTCTGAAGTTTGAATATTACCTTCACCTGTTATCTTGGGCAAGTTACTAACTAATTTGTCTATATCTACCTTATTAGGTATTAAATGGTTAAATGAGGATTAAATTATTATTCCATGTAAAGCTCTTAGTGCTGTGTCTGGTACATAGTAAATACTAAATAAATAGTGGTATTCTTACTGTTTAATATAGAAGTGATTTCTTTGAGGGTTGTCTGTGTGTCTGTAAGGTTATGGTGAAGGCCTGTCTTTAATCGAGTCTGATCACATCCATTTATTTGTTCAGCAGTTGAGCACCTGGCATCTCAGTAACCACTGGGTATGCTGCGATTCTGGGAGCTCTCAGTCTCAGGCATGTAGACTGATGGATGCCACATCCTAAGTGCTTTCATAGCAGTCTCTAGAAGGCAAGGTGGGAGTCCCAAGGGTGGGGAGCCCTGGGTGTGGGTGAGAACTGTATGGAAGGTTTCAGAGAAGAGGTTACCAATCAGTCTACAGTTACATAAGTAGAGGTGGAATTTGCTGGAGATTGGACACCTCCTGGCCTTGATGATAATCACAAAGGCTAGAGGAAGAATTGTTTAGAAGCCAAGTAAATAAATGTTCTGGAGCCTCTGAACTTTGGGGATTTTGGCATGTGTAATGATTCTTAGCTGCTAAACTCGTGTGCCCAGGCAGAGGTAGCTTTGGGTCCTGGGGTCTAACCTAGGAGTTGACAGATGTGTTCCATGGTAAGCATGACAATTTTGGTTGACTACTGAAATGCTGATGTGGTTAATTACATCATAACATGAAACAACTTCACTCACAGAAAAATAAGTATTTTTTTGTAACTTTGTAGCTTAAAAATCTGATATTGTTAAGAAATTACATTTGAATTTTTCTGTTAAAGGTTGTTTGCTGCTTTTTCATTTGTGTTATCTAGTATCTTCCTCCAGCAGAACGCTGGGGTAATAAGTGTGAAAACGTTTAAGAAATACGTGGAGAAAAACTCAAATTGAGAATTCTAAAAATTAGGACAAGACACCTTTTTTCACTTCTAGTGGTGGACTCCCTGGATCTCGCCTGTGGAACCAGAGTTGTTTGGAGAGGCCAGGCGTTAGCAGTTTCTCTGTGACTGGGTGGTCATTTCACTGCCGTACCAGGGAGATGACGCATCAGCCCGCAAGAAGCAAGGCAGAGATTCAGGCCTCTCCTTTGTTTTGTTGTCCCCTAGTTTGGACCCCAATGACCAGAAGTCTCTAGAGGGGATGCAGAAGATGGAGAAGGAGGAGAGTCCCACGGATGCCACTCAGGAGGAGGATGTGGACGACATGGAAGGGAGTGGGGAAGAAGGGGACCTGGAGGGCAGCGACAGTGAGGCGGCCCAGTGGGCTGACCAGGAGCAGTGGTTCGGCATGCAGTGAGGCAGGCGGCAGCTCTGTGGCCACACTGGCCTGCCCTGCTCTGAGCACTTCTGTGGACTGAAGGAGCCCGGAGGAGCCCGCTCTCTGGGAGGACAATGATTCCGCATGTAATTGCAGCAGGGGTCTCTACCCCTTGCTCCCTATTTCTAGTAGTGAATTCATTTTTAAAAACTGAGCCTGACCGACCTTACATATATCTCTGTCCTCCCCTGCTCCAGTCAGGGAGGATCGAGTGAGCTCTCTGGGGGGCCTGCAGACGTGCCAGGGCTTCTGGGACAGAGTGCTTTTTATATAACTAATTTCTAAATCTGAAAGCTTGAGGAATAGACAGTTCTGTCTCTGACATTGTGGGTGAGTTTAAAGGAGTGACCTATCACCCAGAGCAAGAGTGTCCTCTGCCATGTCAGACAGCAGCATGGGCTGGCCCTTTCAGAGAGGGTTTCCTGTTCCGGAAATCATCCTGAGCTGTCCAGACTTCCCTAGTAACCTTGCTTCCTTCTGCAATGTTAGTAATGCCTTAAGCTGACAGTTGCTATTTTGCAGAACAATTTTCTTATTTGCTAATCTGGTAACTTGCCTATGAGCCTGGGCCGGATCTGAGAAACGGGTGTGACCTAGAGCATGAACAAAGGCACACTTGGGGTAATTAACTAATAAAACTGTTTTTTGTACAGTAATGGTGTTGGGTTGATCAGAATGGAAGCCCTTTATAGATTCTTATTGGCGGGGGGGGGGGGGGGGTGTGTCTCTGAGTCACAATGCATTGATTCAGCCCCAGAATTATTTGCCATAAATACACTCCCTTTCTTCCCAGAGTGTTGGGAGCCAGGAAGATTGGGAACTTTGGATAACACTGAGCTGGTTCATCTATTTGCATTTTTGATTGGTTAAATTCCCCTGGGGGAGAGACTTTGGCCTGATTGTAGCTGGTTCTGCTCACTTCTGTCGAGGGCACTAAACAAATCGGCGTCTGGTTACAGCATTCTGTCACGGGGTCAGCAGGGGGTGCATTCCCTGGGCTTGGTGCTGGGAGCTTTCACCTACCCTCTTGTTTCTTAAGATGCCATGCTTTTCACTGTATCCTTAACTTGGAGGTGAAGGTGGGGAGAATGGCACAGTTAACCCCAAATACTCACTAAAACAAGATTAGTCAAAGGTGATACAAAATGTGATTTTGATACAAATGGTAAGTTCTGTCCAAAGTGTAAAAACAGTGGAAGTGTGCAGTAGTTTAGGAGCTCAGAACATGATAACTACAACTTCAAGTGGGCAAAAATGTTATTGTTCGAGTATCTTTCAGTATGAGACGCAAAGCCTGGGCAGCCACCATTTGATCAGACAGTGTTTAAAGAGCCCAGCTAGCAGTTGGGGTTGTTCCAGGGGAGCATGCTGCCGGGAGAAGACACTGCTCATTGGCCTCGGTGCTTGCTCTGGATGTAGCTTCATGGCCTTCGGCTTCCTCTTAGCAGCTGTTACAAGTCAGTGCGTTGGGAAAAAAGGTGAAACCTCTTTGCCATTTCCCTGGCTTGGGGAAGAAGCCCAGCCACACCCAGCCTACATGTTGCCGCGTGCCAGGCTTGTCGCTGTTAACCCTGAGATTCCCATGGGGTCAGGATGTGCCTTGGAGCCCACGCCCTGTGTATTACCTTCTGTCAGCACCAGCATGTTCCTCCCCTTTCCTGGGCTGGCCCTCAGCTCTGCTGCTAGCCCCTGGATCATCCCAGGCCCCTCCATCCCAGCAACACGCTGGGCTGGATCCCTCTGACCCCTCCCACCTGCAGCTCCAGCATTTCTATCCTGACCATGTTAGGGTGAAAACTGGGTTGGAAGAGGCAACTGAAGCTACATTTTTTAGTGCACCTGATGTAGGATTGAAGACCTTCTTGGTCCACATCAAAGAATGGGAGGAGTGTGACTTAAAGGGTGCTGAAGATCTCACCTGGCATTGCTCCTGTCACTTGGTCTCATAAAAAAACGTCATAAGGGCAGGGAGCCCCAGGAAGCAGGAACAGAATCAGGCTGCCCAGCTCTCTGGCTGTCTCGTTGAGCCACCTTCCAGGAGACGAAGCATCTTGACCAGGGATGGGCTCTCAAATGCCTATAGTCAACCACAGGTACCCTCTGGTGTCTGGAGTTTCACACACCAATAAGGAAGAGGATGTTTTAACTAATCCTATCCTTTCCCTCCAACTGCTTCCAGCTTGTTCATAGCACCAGTTTGGAATTAGGCTAGGTTCTTTAAAAGTCCCTCCTCTCCCACTGTCAGAGCTGCAGGTCAGGGGCCATTTAGTTCGCTTCCGTGGCCTGAGCTCCCATAGCTTCAGGATTGAGGATGGAATCAGCCCACAAGGAGTTCAGTATGGTGCCCATTGTGTATCCCATTACCATTACCAGGGTAAATGCCAGACTGCCAGTCTTTCCCTTAGGAATTGAGAATTGGTGGTATCACTGAAGCCTTCTTGTCTTTTTTCTCCTGGAGGTCCCTCAGCTAAGCAAGGAGGCAGGGTCCTAAGGAAGGGTGCTTCCTGCCCCCTGTCTTGGGCATTCACACTCTGAACCCTTGCTGTATGCCAGGGACCTGGCAGACATGGCCCGTACAGGGTTGATGTCAGGAGCGCTCCTTCCCAGCCTTAGTTTGGGAGCCATGCTCCTGCCTATGAGTTCTTCCTCAGAGAATGAGACCAGCTTTTGCCAAAATCTGTAATTCTCAAATAGATGATGCAGATTACCAGGCACAGCAGCAAACCTGAATCCAAATCCAGGGCTCAGGCCCAGGAATCTGCATCTTCAATCACTCCCGCCTTGATTTCTTACTCAGATGCAGGCATTTTGTGGTCCAAATATTGAGAAACCTGGGGGAGGGGACTTGAGGGTCCCAGAAGCTGTAGGCTTCACCTCAGAAGGCCTGTGGGGGCCTCACTGTACAGCTGTCTGACCAGGTCTTTGGAGGCCATGGCCAGACCTGAGGCCACAGGCTCTGCCTGCTGCATGGTAACTGTATTCTCCGTTGGCTACAGGCAGTGAGGCCTGACTCGACACGCACCTCACCGTGGCCTCCGGGAGCATGGCCTTGGCCAGGCCAGCCAGGAATCCCTGGCACTGGGAGGGCCCATTGAGGTAAGTGCCTCACTAAGGTTTTCCACTTCTCTTCGGAGCCTCTCTGCCCTGGGGCAGTGGATGGAGGGGAGGGGGTGGTATACCAGCCGCCACTTTCCCTCTTGGGGCACAAAATGGCAGGCTTCTGTTGTCTCGATGCTTCTGAGCTGCTCTGGCTGCACCACTAGACAGGGCCAAGGTGTTTGGGCTTTTTTCCAGATTACTGTGGAAGATGTCAGGTATTGGCAACACAGAACATGTCACTTATTTCACAAATCACACAGTAGCAGCAATACCAGGAACAAGCCAGAAGCCACCAAGTCGGTCTCCTTAGCAGCCATTAAAACCGTTTAAAATTAAGAGTACCCTCATGCATTGTTGGTAGGAAAGTAAAATGATAGAGCCATTGTGGGGAAAACAGTCTGGCAGTTCTTCAAACGTTTAAACAATTACCGTATGATCCAGCAATTCCACTTCTGGGTACATAGCCAAAAGAATTAAAGCAGGATCTTCACCAGATACTTGCACACCCTTGTTCATAGCAACATTATTCACAACAGTGAAAAGGTGCAAATAACCTAAGTATTATATTGTTGGATGAATGGATTAACAAAAATGCAGTATGTGTGTGTGTGTATGTATGTATACATACATATACACACAATGGAATACAATTGAGCTTTAAAAGAAGAAAGTCCTATCACATGGCACAACATGGATGAACCTTGAGGACATGCTAAGTGTGACAAGCCAGTCACAAAAGAAGAAATACTGTAACGTGATCCCTGGAGAAGCCAAAATTCATAGAGAGTGGAATGTTGGTTGGAAGTTGGGCAGGCAGCAGGGATAGGGAATTAGTGTTTAACAGGGAAAGGTTTCCATTTAGAATGTTGAAAAGGTTCTGGAGATGGATGGTGGTGATGGTTGCACAACATGAATGTACTTAATGCCACCAATCTGAAAAATGGTTAAGATGATAAATTTTATATCTAGAGAGAGAGAGAGAGATATATATAGATAGATATATATATGTATGTATATATACACACACACATATGTACTATGTATATATATACTTTTATATGTATATATATATATAACTAAAAACCAGTAAAGAAATGGTCTATAATTCTGTCATCCAGACAGCCCCATTAACACGTGTAATTATATATGTGTTGTATGAATGTACACATAATTTTAAAAATTCAAAGGTATAAAATTAAAATCTACCCACTGAATCCCAGTGCCTCTCTACAAAATAAATGTTCTAGTTCTACCTTTAGAAAAAGTTTTGCGCTTTTACTTAATGATCTGTACATGAAAGTTACACTAAAGCAGTCATGCTGTCACTCTGAGAAATTCCTGTCCGAGGTTGTCTGCGTGCTCTTGTTTGACAGTTCCACAGAACTCCATTCTGTGGATGGAACAATTTCTGTAATCCTTCTGCTGTTGGTGGACACTTGTTTCCAGTTTTGTATATAATTATTACAGTCTGCACTGTCGTGAACATATTTTGGCATAATCTAAAGACACGGGTCAAGTTCTTTGTAGTGTAATTTCTGCATCTCAGACTGTGTCCATTTAAGGCTTTGATGGATGCTGTCAGATTGCTCTCCAATAGTTTGTTTCCTGCACTCTCACTGATACCAGTGTCGTGGTTTTTTTTTCTTACCAGTTTTAGATGTGATAAATATTCCATCATTTTTATTTGCTTGAGCTACAATTTGAGTGATCAAGCAAGCCGTTTGCTATGTTATCACATCTTAACATTATACCCCTGAGGCATAAAAAGAAAATGGACCAAGGTCCTCAGCCTTGCTGCATTTAAACCTTGCCAGCCAGACTGTCAAGGGCAACATCATCACAACATAGCTCTCAGCTCTCTCGTTTGTCACTTAAATCTTCCAGTGTCTGTCTATAAACAACCCTCTGGTGACCTCCTTTGTGCACACAGCTTTTTCCTTATTTGGGCAAATTCCCAGGAGGGGGATTTCAGAGTGATAGTGCATAATCTTTTTTGGAATGTTTAAGGGGTCTGGTTGGCTGGTCCTCTCTCTGTTCAGTGAATCTGTAAGCCAAGGCTGGCGCTGTGGCCTCCCCTTCTCCTGTCGATGTGGCCTCTTCTGGCCATCCCAGTCTACCCAGGGTGTCAGTCCATTTATTGGCTTCAGGTTAGGGGTGAACCAGGAGCTCTCTAATCTCTGAAACTTTCCCTTCTCTCAGTGGAGTTGAGAGCTTGTGGTGGACTCTGGTGATGTCTGCCAAGGCATCTGCCTTTGCTTTCTTGGGCCTTTGGGATTTGGGGCCCCTTCCCCCATGGAACAACCCTTCCTGCCTCTAGGTTGGGGAATGTTTTCTAGATTGAGATCAGATCTTGCTTGCTCTATCTAGGGCTGACTTGATAAGGTTTATGGCTACTTGTGTTCTGAGTACCTATGTTCTTTCAATGCCGCATTGAAGGAATCCCACTCACCCCAGTAGGAGGGCTGAGCCTCTCAAGGGGAGGGCCTCTCCATCACTAGCTGGAAGCCAAAGGTCCATGGCCTGTCACTAGCTGTGGTCACAGGTAACTCTCAGGCTCTCTGTGCCTCCATGTACCTTTGGAAGAGAACTCAGAGTCTGGTTCTGTCTCCCTGTTGTTGGGGTAGGGGGGGTTTGTGACATCGGTGCTCAAGGCTTGGGTGGAGCATGTGGGAGGGGAGCAGCCTCCCAGGGATAAACTGGGGATCAGTGATCTACAGGCTGTACCCCTTTTGGCGCTGGATCAACAGATTTGCCCTGAGCCCCTCTCAGTGACAGATTTAGTTTTTCATGCTCTGTAGCCCAGAGATCATCTTCCATCCGTGACCTCAGCCTACTTGGCCCACTGGCCCATCTCTCTTATCAGTCCCTTGGGGCAGTGGGGATTTTTTGGTCCAAGAATTGAGTGGGAGTGTCAGCAAGCAGCCATCTGTCCTGAGAGAGGCCTGTGCCCTCCGGCCTGGGTGGTGCCCAGACTGAAGCCTCATCTTGGACTGGCTGAAACAAGCTGACCCACAACATCCCACAGGCCCAGGCTGCTTCCCACTCCTGTGCTGTTGCTTTGCTGAGCCTGGTGGTATATGACAGGAAGGGACAGAGATGACCCCTATGCACAGTCCCCATCTGGAGCTTTTTTTGGAGTGGTGAGCATGAACTTAAGCCAGGCATGCATTGACGAAGAAGACAGCTTCCCTCAGCTTAGGGGAATCCAAGGGGAGCTACCTCGGAGGTCAGGGCCATGTGGAGACCCCTAAGGAGGTCCAGGAGAGCAGCCTCCTATATAAAATAATTCTGCCAGTACATCAGGGCCCAGAGCCTGCTCCGGGGCCAGACAAGTATTTCTTTTCTTTTTTAATAAAAACATAAATTTGTGAAGTATAGCACACATACAGAAGTGTATGAAAACATGTAGTGTTTAAAGAACCACAGAACACACATGTACACTCCACCCAGGACAAGAAATAGAATGCTTCACAATCCCAGAAGCAGCCCCCCCAACCCCGCCATGTACTTAGACCTGATCACAACGCTTTCCCTTCCTCCTTTCACGCTCCCCTTACCAGAGGCAACCACTCTTCTCAATTTTGTTTTTATTCTTCCTTTATTTTCTGGCCCTGGAAGGTCTTGTGAACCTTGAGCAAGTAGTGAGCTAATTTTTCTCACCTGTACAAAAATAATACCGTTACTCAGCTGTAGTTTTACCATATCTTAAACAACACATTTATTTGCTTGTCTTGAACTTAATGTAAGTGGAGTCATGTCTGTTTTTCCATGGTATCTTTTGCTTGATGTTTTTTTTTTAAGATTTTATTTATTTATTTGACAGAGACACAGCGAGAGAGGGAACACAAGCAGGGGGAGTGGGGAGAGGGAGAAGCAGGCCTCCTGCGGAGCAGGGAGCCCGATGCGGGGCTCGATCCCAGGCCCCCGGGACCACGACCCGAGCCGAAGGCAGACGCTTAACGACTGAGCCACCCAGGCGCCCCATTGCTTGATGTTATTTTTAAAATTGATCCATGTTGGGATCGAGCCCCGCATCGGGCTCCCTGCTCCGCAGGAGGCCTGCTTCTCCCTCTCCCCACTCCCCCTGCTTGTGTTCCCTCTCTCGCTGTCTCCCTCTCTGTCAAATAAATAAATAAAATCTTAAAAAAAAAAAATTGATCCATGTTAATGCTGCTATAACTCATTCATGTTTTAATTGACATTTTTAAGATTTTATTTGAGAGAGTGAGAGCACAAGTGGAAGTTGGGGGGTAGAGGGAAAGGGAAAGAGAGGACCCCAAGCAGACTCCTCGCTGAGTACGGAGCCCCACACAGGGCTTAATCTCACAACCCTGAGATCATAACCTGATCCAAAACCAAGAGTTGGATGCCCAACTGACTGAGCCACCCCAGTACCCTAATTAATAGACATTTTTAGAACACTTTTAGATTTATAGAAAAATTGAGTGCTAGTACATAGAGTTTCCAATTACCTTGCACAATCTCCTTATATCAATATGGTACATTGATTACAATTAATGAACCAAGATTGATCCATTATTATTTTTGAAGATTTTATTAGCAAGAGAGTGAGAGAGAGAGCATGAGTGTGGGGTGGGGGGAGGTGGGGCAGAGGAAGAGGAAGAAGCAGACTCTCCACTGAGCACGGAGCCCAACTCTGAGCTCAATCCCAGGACCCGGGATGATGACCTGAGCTGAAGGCAGATGCTTAACTGACTTAGCCACCCAGTCGCCCTGATACATTATTGTTAATAAAAGCCCATAGTTTATTTACATTTTCTTAGGTTTTACCTGATTTCCTTTTTTTGTTTCAGGATCCCATCCAGGATAGTACATCACTTGTAGTTATCATGTCTCCTTAGGCTCCTCTTGGCTGTGAAAGTTTCTCAGACTTGTTTTCGATGACCTTGATGATTTTGAGGAGGAATGGTCAGGGGTTTTGTAGGGTACCTCATTCATTTTTCATTGCTATGTGATACAATTTCATTGCTATATAA